CACCAGGTCTTCTGATTTGCAAGCTCGACGTGTCCAACTCCTCTGACTGTTCCTCAAAGGGGTCTGTTACCAGCTCTCTGAGCAACCTGGCAGTCTTCCCCGACCTCACTCTGACTTCTGCATCTCCAGGTCCCTCTTAAGTGCAGTGCCCACAGCTGCACCCCAAGCGTGGTCTAACCAGGGCACAGGACAGTGAAACTGTTCCCATGTGAGGTCTCTCATCTGGACCGATCTTGACCTACAGGGAACAAGCGACTTTCCTGTGGCCTCCGCTTCTAATATTGCCTCGCTTGCGGTGTAAGTCACATTGTCTTTTATAGCGCAGGTCCCATTGTGTTTATTTTGATTAGCGTGCAGGGGCTTAAATTTAGCTCCGACGAACAGCAGCGCAGATGTTCTGCTGCACAGACCAAGTGTATTTAACCCTGACATTTATTTTTACATCTCCCACTTCCGTATCTAGATAATAAGGATGTGGTTCCTTGCTGACCGATCAACTGCAGCTTCTCACTTTGGCGAGTCCAGTATTAAACCCAAAAGCGTCCGACAAGGACGAGCCGGAGGCAGCGATGGGAGAAGACTGAGTTCTCTGCGTCTGTAGAAAGGCCGTTTGATCCCGGCCTTCCTTTTCTCCCTTCTTCCCCTTGAATGACGCCATCCTCTCCAATGGAAGCCTCCCAGGTGTTCTAGATGTGTATGATAGGGCTTGTAGTCCAACACATCATAGAATCATAGAGATGTAGGGTTGGGAGCGACCTTGGAGATCTTGCAGTCCACCCCCAGCACAGGGCAGGAATCTTCGGATCATCCCAGACTGTCCCACCATGGCTCAAAGCCCGCCCGCGATGGAGCCCCCAGGACTCCAGGAGGGAGGCTGTTCCCCTGCTGAGTAGCTCCCCCGACCAGGAAATTCCCCCCCATTCTGAGTTTGTATCTCCCTCAGCAAAGCTTCCATCCCAGACTCTCCCACCTTGGCTTAAACCCCTCCCGTGGTGGGGCAGCCCCTCCAGGATGCAAACCCTGCTCCCGCGTCTCCACCCCGCCTCCTCTTTTCCTGGCTGAACAAACCCAGCCCCTTTCCCCGCTCTTCGCAGGGGTCTGAGCCCCCCAGCACCCCCCCCCCGTCGCTC